TCAATTTTTCATATTTATAGCGTTCCATTTAAGAGTATATTATAACATTCTGGACGTTAGCTGTATAATATTATAAAAACTATATCAACCTATATAAAGAAGTATATAATTGAGAGGCTTATATTTACGAAAATTCATTCCGATAGATGGCTTTACATTTTTATAAAGTAATTTAATGTTAAACTTTCTATATTCAAATTTGTAGATTAATTTTTAATCTTATATAACAGAATTTCCTTAAAAAAAATATTGTATTTGTAAATTGTTTGCAACTACTCCGGTTTATAGTTTTGAGTCAGATATTCTTGCAAAAAGGAACGCAAAAATATTATTTTTTTTTTTAATTATTTACTCATATTTTTAATAATTTATTTGCTATATAAATTTTTAATTTTCTATGTATTTTATGCTCATGAACATTGGGGGTCAAATTCTAAAATAAAACATAAAATCCATTTATCTAATATACTCGTAAATATATATACGTATATTTGATTATCAACTAACAATAATCTTCATTACATTAACATATTGATTGTTTTATTTATTTTTTCTTATATTTTTTATTTTTTTACTTAAATATTTTTAATATTTTTTATTTAACTACTGGAAGCTTAGGTATATTAGGTTGAAGAGTAATAACTTGCTTTCTATGTAGGCTGTTGCAACGAACTTCTTGAACTAGTTTTTGAGTGCACTAAATTATTAAAATTGTATTTTTTTTTCAATTTATAATTTTAAATTTAAAAAGAAAAAAAAATATATGTATATAAAACAGAAAAAGATAAATAACAAGACAGAAAATAAAATTTATTTTTGCTTTTAAAGCATAAAATGAAAAAAAAAAGAAACAATAAAATTTATAGAATAATTAAAATACTATTTAGAAAAAAATGTTAAAAATGTAATAAATAACAATATTATGTATATATATAAAAATCATTTTAAATGTATATATATGTACACTATATAATATATTTAGAAAAAATTGAACAAATTAAATAAAAATAATTGGAAAAAATTTAATGTATGTTATAATATTGGAGGTCCAGTTTGTGTGGTTTTCCGTTTGTGTATGTACTATTTAAGATTATGTTTATGATGATGATTTTTGTCAATTTTAGAAAATTTATATTTAAAATTATTAAAGGGTATTCTTATACTATGAGGTATGCTCCTTCAAACCACTTCTCTAATATTATTAAAAATAAATAAAGTTTATTTAAAAGGCACTATTGTGTTCACTCTCCTATATACAATTTTTAGGTTTATGAAATCATTATTGAAAAAGCTAATGATATTTTAGAAATTCGTATGTTTGCGAATCTTAAAGAGAACGGTATTTTCTTCTATACTTTTAGATGAAGTAATTAATATCACAAAATCATATAAATAAGAAAGGAAAATAAAACATAGCTTTAAATAGCTTTAAGTAGCTAAATTCAGCCACTTTAACATTTATTTGGGCAAGAATCCTCTTAATTCCATATTGTCATAGAACAGTTTTTAAATCTGATTCAGTTTCAGGAACGATTTGGTGAATTCAATTTTGAGAATCAATTTCTGAACTGAAATCTTAACTGAATTTACAAAATAATATATGTAAAAAGGAAATAATTAAGGATTGTAACGTGTAAAAATACGTAGTAAAATTGCGCCGTAGTATATGCAATTTTTTTAAGTATAGAAATTGTAGTGCTATTTAAATTCTTGTTTCTCAAATTCTCATTAATTATGAAAACCTTTAATAAATAAAATTGACTCTCATAAAATCATATCGGTATAATTTATGTATGAAATGGCTCAATATATAGTATTTGAGTGATATATTTTGAGTAATATATTTATAGTAGAATCTCTATAGCATAGTAACACTCTAAATTTTATAAATTTTGTACAATAAAAAGTTTTCGTAATAAGTATAAAAAGTTTTTACAAAAAAAAAATTTTATACTGTTGAATAAATTGTTGTCTAAATACAGATTTCCGTTTCTATAGAGTGTTCGTTTTATAGAGGCTCCACTAATTTAACTTTTTAAAAATTAAAACACAAAATTTTAAGAAAAACAAATAAAATTATTTGAATTTTTTTTTTTATTTACCAAAACGTTTTTGTTAGTTTTCTTATTCCTAAAAAAATTTAATTACAAAATATGTTTTAAAAAAAAACATATATAAATAATATTATTAGTATATATAAAAAAATTTAAATTAATTATAAAATTATTACAAAAATAACAAATATAAATTTAATAAGAAAGAAAAAATACGTTGTGATTGAATAATTGAAATTTTTATGAATTAAAGGAAAACACAGTGAAAATTTTAGAACATGCAAATAGAAAAATAGTAAAATTTCATTTGAATGGAGTATTTAAAAATCAAGGAAAAATTTGACAAAAAATTAAGGTTTAAAAATAAATAAAGGTAAAAGGTTTGTTTTTCAATTTTATATTGGAGGAGATTGATTAATTTTTGATAAAATTAATATTGTTTTAAATAATTAATTGGTTTCTATGAAAATAAAGTTTTTTAAGGGTTGAAATTAGTGTGATCCAATTTGTAACTACAGCTTTAATTAATAAATTTTGTGCTTGAATAGAAGAGGTTTTTAAATGATAAGGGACAACAATTGATAGAGAGTTCTGAATTCAAAGCTAATTTTCGAATTAAAAGTACCGTATTAAAGAGGTGATTGTATATGAATAGTAATTTTCGGAAACAATTTAAATTTTATTAAATTTTTAAATGTTTTGTTGTTTTTTTATTGGAAATAGCTTATACATATAATGGGTTATAGTTTTTAAAATTTTAATATGAGCTATATAGCATTAATTTTAATTAATTCTAAAGCGAATTATAATACGAATTGCCTATACATTAATTTTAATTAATTCATGTGGCACACTTTAACAATATTATTATTAATCATTGATGAAAATTAAAATAAATATATTGGTTTTAAAGTAATTTTTATGGACCATTATATTTATTTATAGTTTTCTAAAAAAGCTATTTAATTCAAATTATTATAAATTTGAAATTAACCATAATATTATATTAACCAATATTAGAAGATTTATTAATTGATTTTTAACACAAAAATTTATTATTTGTGGAAAACATTTGTAAATTTCAAAATAATTTTTTTATTAAAATTCTAAATTCTAATTTTGATAAATTTTAGTGTGGTAAAAATTTAAAATATATATTTGCTTATTGTATTTTTAATATTATAATAATATTTGAAAATATAATAATTTTTTTTTTTAAATTTTATACTAAATTAAATATTAATTGAACACTTAAAAATATAATTATATAATTTTTCAAAAAAATTGCTTGTTTTATTTTCTAAAATAACAAAATAAAATAAAAAAATAAAATAAAAAAATAAAATAAAAAATAACATAATATAGCGTTATACATAATATTTTATATAAAATTAAATTAAATATCAAAGTACATTAAAAATATTGTGCTAAAACATGAACAGTAATATAAAGTGTTTACATACTTTTACACCAATAATATATAAAATAACAAAGGGAAAAGGAGACATTTTGAATTTTGTGTACAAGATTATTGTTGTTTGAAAATGTTAATAAATGTGTGCTATTATAATGATCGGCGAATCGAATAAAATTTTTGACCAATATAAATTTTTAAAACCTAAAATTTATGCGAATTCAGTGCTATCTATGAAAATTCTGTGTGGCAAGATTACAAAATGGAAACAAAATCGAAAATATAGGAAAACATTAAAATACACTATAGAATAGTTTGAAATTAATAATAAATTATAATAATTAAATTTTTAATATCCTGAAGTTTTTAATATGGTGAATGAAATCATTCATTGATTATGAATTGAAATGTTGTTGAATTCGCCAAATTCATATGATTCGCTTAATTATTCGCTTTGCTAAATCAATAAATTTAAATATATGTATATTGCAATGAAGAAGCTTAAATTTGGTTAAAATGAGAAAAAATTTTGAATGCAAAAAATAAGTGTTTTTTTTTTCAATTAAATGAGCGAATAATATTGTGATTTTAAAAGTATAAAACGTAAGAATTTTTGTTAAGGATGTGATAAATTTTTATAAACACTATTATTTAAAATTTAATTTCGAGTCAATAGAATAAAATTTTATTAAAGAATATATATTCTTTTTTAATAATTTATTGTGCTATACATGATTTAGATAATGATGAACGTTGTTTATTTGTTGTTGTTTTCGAACGTTTAATACATTTTTCTTTTTTTTCATCTTTCCAATTACTTATTTGATTTATTTCAATTGATTTTTCATTATTTTCCGATGATTTACTTGATGATGGATTATTTATATTACTATTAGAATTGTTATTATTATTAAATAATAAAGCTTTAATATCATTATGACTTTTAATTGCTTTCATTTTTAAATAATTTATTTTACCATTATTATCATGTTCTTTAATTGATTTAGTACAATGTAATGGACTTAAATTATTTAATAATGTTGTATTTGTATTTGGTTCAAATAATAAATCACGTACTAAATCAGGTTGTAAATTATTATGTTCATCATTATCATTATTACGTTCATTATTATCTGAATTATTAATAAAATATTGTTGATATTTTTGATTAATACTAATTAATGATATTGATTGTAATTGTTGTTGTTTCTGTTGTTTTTGTTGTTTTATGTTTCCTTTTTGTGAATTATTATTATTACTACATTTAAATGAAAATATTAAACTATTACGATTAGAATTATTACAATAATTATTATTATTATTAATACATGCATCTTCATTTTTTACATTGCTCTTACTAATATTATTCATTGAATTACAATTATTTATATTATAATTATTATTATTATTATTACTATTATTAACATGCGATATTGATAATGGACGATTATTTTTATATAATAATTGTTTATTATTACATTCATCATATGAAGTATGATGCATGATTGCATCAAGATGAATATTAAACATACCTGTTCGTTCCTCTTGGAAATCATCTTCATCAGATGATTCTAAACGATCTTCAACTAATGATGATTGCCTTGATAAACTCTATTTGCATTATTATAAAAAGAAAAATTAATTTTAATATTAAAAATTTTGAAAACAAATTCAAAACAAATTTAAATGTATTTATAGGGGTTGTGTTTTAATAATGGTTGCACTTTAATAAAGTTCACAATTCAAAATTGAGGTGCGTATTCTAAAGCCGTAATTATTAATATTATGTAAGATTTCATTGCATACTCGTACTTAAGCCTAAAGAGATGCAATTAATTTATGTGATGAATAAAATAATTTGATTTTTGTAGAGCTTAATAGCGCTAGTAGGATAATAATAGCTTATTAACATAGATGAATCTAACAAAATTATTAGATATTGAACATTTAATAAAAATATGTTAAAGTCCAACCATCGATTAAAATTCAACTATTCTACTATATTTAGAAAAAAAATTAGAATTGATAAAAAAAAAAAATTTTTAATGTTTGTATATTATTTTTTACAGAATTATGTCGTCTTCTAGGTGGTGATCTTTTATTCCATAATGCTTCTAATTGATCAAAATGTTGTGATTGTGCTAATGCAGCTTGTTCTGGACCTAAATTTGTTTGAGATGTTAAAGTTTTCATTTCAGCAATTTTAGATATTTCTTCCATGCTAGCAGAAACAGAAAAACGTCTTTTTAAACGTTCATCAACTTGTGCCATCATTACAGATGATGTCAAATGACCATATTTCTTTTGCCAAGTATACGTATCCAATGAAACTTCTTTCTTTAATAAACGTTTCATTTGACGTTTTGGACCTTGTGGTCTTAAATCTAAAAATTTTATTAACGCATATTTTATATTTATTTTTATTAGAAATTTTGTAAAATTACCTTCAACATCTCTAGCTGGTGCTGAATATGTTGGTAGTTTAATAAAATTAGCGGGTGTATTATGAAGGCATATTACTGGTATATTATATGTATCAATTAATTGAACTAATATCCTTGAGCATTCTAAACTAATATCAAAACGAGTAAATGGTATATGAAGTTGTAATGATGTTAATGCTAAACCCCTTTTAGTTTCCCATACAATTAATGTTTTATCATCACTTGCCGATACTGCTGTTGTACCTATAATTAAATTTTATAATATAATAATTAAAATTATTCACGACAATTATTAAAATATCAATATGTTTATATAAATATATAAAATATTTACCATCAGCTGATACTTTAACACATGTAACTTGTGCTAAATGTCCTGCTAATGTATGAATTTCTTCACCCGTATGTATATCCCATACAATTAAATTGTAATCTTTTGATCCAGATATAACTTGATTTTTATTTGTTACCGATACAGCAACACATGTAACAGCATCACTATGTCCAACTAATACTTGAGCTAATTTACCACCAGTTGCTTGCCAAACTTTAAGTGACATATCCTTTGAACCAGTTATAACATATAATGAATCAACGGTGATAACAAAACAGGTTATTTCATCTGAATGTGATACAGTATATTTTTCATCTTCACGTGTCAATGACCATATTTTTAAGCTATTGTCACCATTTGTGCAAACCTTTTTTGTTTTTGTTTTTTTTTATATCAGTAAAAGTTTAATAATATTATAAGAAAAAAGAAAAAAATACTATATTAGAGACAATTTTTATTTTGAAAAAGAAAGAGAAGAAATATAAGAATAAAATGAAAATGTTTTTTTCCTTGTCACTTTTTCTTCTATCTTTGTAAGGAAGTGGTAGATATTAAAGAAATGGATAATTGTATACTTAACACAATATGATCCTTTAATCGAAACCCTGGTTAATATTACAAGAAAAGGAAGTAATTTCTAACTATATATTAGTAGAGTTAATTATACGTAGTATGACAAAGAGAAATAAAAGAACTTTATGATATAAAATACTTAAAATTTCCTTAAAGAAAAAACACGCAACTAATATATGAGAATAGCGGAAAAAGAAGTAGTAAACTTATAAAAGAAGTAATTACAAACCCTAGAGAATCTAAATGGTTTAAGATGTTATTTATTAAAATTTTGATTTTGATTTAGTTTCACGCCATTCACACCACGCATCAAATTTCGTATGTCGAATTTTCGGCAGAAATGCATTTCTCTACAGTGGAGAAGCGGAAATAAACAATTTTTAGCGAGATGTTGGTCTGTCGGTTTGTGTACCTGTGTATCTCAATTTTGTCGGAACGTATTTGGATGAAAATTTATATCTGAGTTTATTTTGACTATGCCACAGATTAACAAATTTTTGGGATACGTTCAGTCATGAAAACAGAGCTTTTACTACAAAACGGTTTTAACAACTTTTGCTCGTTTTTTATGATTCAATTTTATTAACTAAATACCCAAATTTAAATTCTTACCTATATATAGAGAAATTATCAACCGATTTCCTTGACATTTGATATTTTAAAATTATAGTGTGTTAAAACAATGAACGAGTCAATCGGATTTCGAAACTTTTACTTTACACTTTCCGCCATATCTAAAAAATTAGTTGACGGAGTTTCTTAAAATTTAATGTTTGTTTTATTTTAGCATATTTTGATTATCTTGTTCAACACTTTTACCTAACAAGAAAATACACTTTTCCGTCGGTTACATACTGATCACACCAGATTATTTTACGAGTATTTACAGTGTAGTTGATTCATATTAAAATGAGTATAATTTCTATCGCAATACAGTATTTGCAATATCATAATAATAATTGGGTGTATGACACTAACTATGACGAGAATCATTGATTTATTTTTTCTACTTCCTTTTCTATTTCAATGCAATAGTACATGTAGTACAAATCCACAAAATGTGCACTTGACAATAATTACTCATTTATTTTTTTTTCTTAAATTTTATAATAATAAATAATAATATTTATATATGTATGTATGTATAATATAGGGTCAAATGTGGAATTCAATTTGAATTAAAATAGAAATACTAAATCTAAAATTCTAAATGGTTTTAATTTGTAAAAATTCTTCTCCCCCTCATATTCACATTTTACGTAATTCCTATATATATGTATATGATGAACAATAAAAGGAAGAAAAACCAAAACAAGTTCATCTGATAATGAAATCTGGTGGTGAAAATTGTTAATAATTGCCATTGTTTATTTATTATACAAATCTTTGATGATTCCAATGTAATGATCATAAACATCATTTCCATCTACCATTTTTATTAAAGCTCTCATATATAATATACTAGTATATGTTTAGAGTTTTTATATATTTCATCCATATATAAACACATACACTTATTATAAGTATTATTATTCTGCAATTAGTCCTTATTATTTTTGTGATATGCACGTATATTACCATTTTTAATTATTTTATATACATTTTGTTATGCCTATACTCAACAAAGCAATATTATGAATATTTAAATAGGTATACTCGTATATGTATTATATGTATGTATGAATCCCTATTTATATTATGGTTATACATTTATATTTTAAAGAGAAATTGTTTGTGATGATGAGGATATTTTTTTTTAATATAAACGTGTAGATATAATATATAAATATAGAAAATTTTACACATTTAATCATTAATATTTTAAGTAGGATGTCATCCTTGAAATCTTAGTGTATATATGATATAGGTTTTTAAAAAGTTTTTGAAGTTTTGTACATTGCATAGCATGTGTGTATAAACACAAGTACACGTTTTATAATAACATGTTTATATATACTTGTATAATATAAAAATTACTATAAAATAAAAATAAAACTGAAAAATTTTATTTTTAAAGAATAAAAAGGATATAAGAATAAGAAAAATATTAATCAAGGTAAAATTTTTTAATCAGTATATTTATAACAAGGTTATTTTATAGTTTATGTTTTCTAATTTATAGGTTAGGGGTTTTCTAAAGCAATACAATAATTCTAGGGTTTATGTAATATGTAATTGAAAAATTTTTATTACTTTTTCAGTAAATCGATGGTGTTTTTATGAAATTTTTATAAATGAAGTAGACAAATGCTTTCACTAATGTACATACTTCCATTTTGCTTTACTGGTACAATTCGACAATGGTTTTTTTCTGCATTAATGAAGACAAAATAATATAGCGACTTTGCTGTTGCCTAATTATGCTATTAATGATCCAATAACGATTGTATATTAGTAATGGTTCGAAGTAGAGATTGTGGCTAAGAAAAATTTATATGTATAGGAAATGGATAAAAATTAGCAAAACATATTGACCAGAACTTTATGTAATTGCATTTTGGAAATAAAAGTTTAAAAGTTTTTAAAAATATTATTAAAGTATGGTAACTATAAGATTCTGAATGAATAGTTTTATTTACTATTTTAGTTTTTAGTACATAAAATTAAGTATTTTTCTTTGAGTACAATACATAAGATTATAAGATTAAGAATTTTAAAAATATCAATCGTATAAAAGTAATTTATTGTTATAAATTGGTGAATTTAGTTATAACACTGTAGTATGTTGCTTTGTGTATGAAATTTTCATATAAATGCATTAAATACTTTCAAAAATATGTATATATTTATGCACACAACATTAATAACATTATAATAATATATAAGTGAATACATGAGCTTTTTAACGTAAAAATTAGTAAAGATTAAACCAATAACAAATTTTTTCAATTTATAAATATGCATTACAGTAGAATACAGATTAATTCAATGCATTCATTTACATAATAATTACAAGTAAAGGTTCGTCATATTCGTCAAGCAACATTACATACACTCATTTAGAACGGCTATTAATGATTTTGTGAATTTGATATCAGGCTAAGTATTTATTAAGCCCTGATATCTACTTTTGTGAAGTGTTATCAAGTTTTCGGAATGATTTGAAAGTTTTAGAAAGTAAAAATTCTTAAACCATTTAAATTTTTAAATATTTCTTGTCCACTGCATTAAGATTTGTAAAATTAAATTTTAAAAATTGTTGAATAAATGCAGTCAACTATATAACGAAAAACCTTTTTATAACCAATTTACTTTATAATGTAAATAAATTACATACGTATGTATATCATCATATATATATGTATGTATAGATATAGTACAATAAAACTTTTTAAAAATTTTTATACAACGTAGTTAGAATTCCTTTTGTTTTCCAAAGAAAAAACATTAAAATTATTAATGTACATATTGTATAAGTTAATAAAAAAATATGTATGTACGTGCGTATAAAATAAAATATCAAATATTTTAAAATAAATGTATAGTATATATTTTAAGTGATATATAAAATGTAAACTTACAGCAAATTTCATATTATTTGTTGCTGCTAAAATTTTATATGGTCCTTGAACTGTTTGTAAAAGTGTTGCTGAATCGGCAAGCCATACATATAAGTAACTGTCTCGGTCCGATGATATAACACGTCTAGAATCCATAAGTACAACAACACAATTGATTGCCGCATTATGACCCTTATATAATCAAAAAGAAAAATAAAGAAAAATTGCAAAATAAGTAAAATTAATCAAATCATATAAATATGTAAATGTAAAAATATTTTCGAAAAAATCCATTTAAAATACAATAACTAATGGGTTTTTCAATACAAGAATGTCTTGATTAAAAATTGTTGATTGGAAACTATTCGAATGTTCAAATATTTTACAAAAATAATTATTTGGTTATCGCAGCACAACATTGTATATATAGAAGTTTTATCAGTTTGTGGTCAATTCTCCGGAGATTATTAAATATATTAAATAAATTTAAGTTCAAACTTTTAAATGGTTCACGAACTATTTAGTGAACTATATAAAATTAATTTCTAGCAAAAGTGACCGTTCGGTTTGGTATATACTTCAGTGTAATGCATTGGAGAAACCTAATTATTTCTTAAGATTCAAATTCATTTTATAATTGGTTCTCCAAGAAAATTATTTTTTGTTGGATTTACATATTTTTCTAAACTTCGCATATTACATAAAGCGACTTCATATATTACATAAAGCAAATTAAACTCAAAATGTCAAAAATTAGAACCATGTCGATTTAAATATTGACTAACGCATGCTGGCAATGCTTATTGTCAAAAATTTAAGAAAAGTGTTAAAATTTTCTTGAAAATACGCTTTTTCGGAAACGCATTTTATAAAATTCGGAACGCGAGTAATATTATAGAAATTTTTTTGAGATACAATACGGAATAAAGCCATACTTCAAATAAAACTCAAAATTGTCCTCATTCTCCTCTTCATTTTATATTTAATTTTATTTTATCGATAAATTCGGACAATCTTATTGAAAAATCCATTACAGATATACATACATATGTATGTATGAAAGTATAAATGTCATAAAATACGAAAATAAATAATGAGAAAGAAAAAAAGAAAAACAAAATATGATAAAGAATATAAAGTTTTTCTATTATGAAAAATGTTTTTCTATTATAACGTACTCGTATATGGAAAATGTTTTGAACTAGAAAACTTTGTTATTTTTCATTCGTTATTTTCATATTATATATAAATTATGTTTGTATGTATGTTTTCCTCTTATATGAATGTATAAAAAAGAATTTACAGGATAGAATTATCATTTAAAGTTTTTTTTTTATTCTTTAAGAGTTATAATGAAAGATAAGCAATTTCCAATGCTATATTAATCCGAAGGAAAGGGAGCACACTTATGTATGTATGTATATGTATATTTATATAATGAAAATGTAGTTTTTTCTAATCGGAATATGTAATATTAACGTAAATTAATTTATTTTTATGAATACATAATATTACCAAAACATAGACCTAAATTATTAAAAAAAAAAATTGGTAACATTTGTAATTTTGTAAAAAAATTCCAAAAACCTACTGTATATAAACTGTTATATGAGTTTTGTTATACATAGCAGGAGCTAGCTTCACTTTCAATCCTTTAAAAAAATATTTTGTTTTTCAATATCTTTTGATTTAATCTGTGAAAAATCTGAGACAGAAATGGGATTTTAATAAATTTTAAGTCGAGACTGAATCTGTATCCGCGTAAACATTTTTAAGGATTTTTAATGTTGCATGTTAAAAAATTAATATTAATCAATATGTGCTCCCAAAATAAAATAGACACTGACAATTTTCTCAAAAGAATATTATGTGTAATTTGCAGATAAAGTCAGCATAATGACATATCGTAAAATATCGTAAAACTTTAATATTGAAGTAATCTTGTACTAGGTATGTATTAATATCGTTTGAAATCAGGGATATCTATGTCCCAGCACTAAAGTTATATTACAGGATATTATTTTGTAACGAAAATAAACCAATTTAATTTTAATGTATTCTGATAATTTTATTGTTTTGAAAAACAAAAGCTAAAAATAAAAATTTTTTTCAACTTTTTGATGTAACAAAATACTCATAGGGCTAAAAATTTTTGTTTTTATTTTTGAAAATAATTCTTAACTTTAAGGAAAACAATATAAAATGGTACATATTTTGTTTTTCCAGTTAAATGTAATTTGGAGGAAATCTTATATTGTTAAGTATGTTTTTTGTTTTTACAAAATTATATGTGAATGAATTTATTTTGTATAGTTGGTGAAATTTAAACTTTTCAGTCGTTGTTGATTTTTCTCAAAAACAGATAACGAAAATTTGTAATTTTTCCCCTTGTATGCCACCCTATAAATTGATGTTATGTTTATTTTTATTAAAAAAGTTTTGTATTCCAAAAATAATGTTATTATTTATATACCCAAAGATAATATATAAGACACGTTTATGGAGAATACGTAAAAGGTACGTAACGTATTATATGAAAAAGTGGGTGAATTTTAAATAAAAATTTTATGGTTAAAATAAAATTTTCATTTTTTTTTTTACTTTAAAATTTGTGCATTTACCATCTTTGTGAAATTTTGATAAAAAAATATTTTAATAATAAACCATAAAATCTAAATTATTACCTTAAATGTAGTTGCTGATATTTGTAATGATAAATTCCATATTTGAACTGTTTTATCTTCCGAACCGGATGCAACAAATTCACTATTTGGTGAAAAACTAACACATGTTACTGTACCAGTATGACCATCAAATGTTGTTTGATATATTGGTGTATTTATTTGCATAATATGTACTGATTTACCAGCAGCAATTGCTGCTAATTGTGAGTCTCTTGATACATCAAAACAATTAACTGGTGGTAATTTTGATGAATTTGTTGAACGTTGTGATGGTAAACGTTTTATAGAACGTTTACGTTTATGATGATGTGAAAATGGATTTAAATAAATTTCTTCATTACGAAATGAATAAAATGTTATTTTATTGCCACCAACTGTTATTAAAAAATCATCATTATCTGTTACATAAACAGCTGTTACAGCACCAGGATTTGGTGGTAAAGAACGTACTAATCGACCAGAATGCATATCAAATATTAATGCTCTTGCATCATCACAGCCAATTATAGCTCTTTGACTATCCATTGCTATTTGCATTGTACGAACCTTATTTAATATATATAAAAGATATAAAAATTAATATTAATTTAATGTTTTTATTTAAATATAACAATATTTTTTAAAATATTTGACTCTAAATACAGTATTCATTTGTTTGTCTGTTTCTGCAGGATATTCGATATAGTGGTGCATTGACATTATACCGGCATTCAGATTTTCTTTAGCGAGGAAAAAACTTGTTCAATAATAAATTTCTATCATAGCCGCTTTAGGACGTAGGGGGCTCTTAAAGACAATTTTTTTGGACGATTTTATTTAAATTACGGTTTAATTTTGGCTGTGTAAGATATAACGGTATCTGCTATTCAAAATTTTTCAATATTAAAAAAGATATTTGAAGAAAGTAATTTAAAAATTCGTTTTACGCAATGGCATCAAAATATAGTAGTCCCCTGGTCATAGAGTTTTTCTACTTAAAAAATTTGGAATAAATTTTTAAATTAAATTTAAAAATAGTTTTCGTAGCACCGACATTTTGTACATTCAAAGAAATTTTTATTATTGTTTGTTTAATAAATGTAATATGGTTGTTATTCTATGAGCATATACAATGAAAATATGTCAATTTTCATTATCGCTGTCAACCCAATTTTTTAAAATGTTCATTGTTGTAAATTGTTGTTTTAACAACAATTATATTAAAGTATAAAAATAAAAAAAAATGATTTTGTTTTTGTTTTAAAATAATTTTTTTTTCTATTCTATTATTAAAAATAAAAATTCTTACCCTTGATTTGTGCCCTTTTAGCTGATGTAATTCGGTTAATGTTGCTAAAGTTCTTAAATACAATAAATTATCTTCACAGAGAGCTAACAGAAATACCTGTGTTGTGTATTCCAAAGAAATATAAATTTTCACTTTAAATAATTTATTTCGTAAATTTGAAATTAAACTTAAATTGATTTTGAATGTCAGCTTACTGGTCTAAAATATTCAAGAGATTAAGACATTAAGAATTTTGCACGACAGATGATTATGTTCTTTTCGGGAACCACGTCGAGTTTTCTTTGAAATTTGTACAATATTTGTGAATTTACGTTTCCAACATGCATCTAAAGAGGTTAAAACTGTAGTTTTATGCAAAACTTTAATTGTTATACATTGTACTGCTCTTTGCTTCTAAGGTCGAAAAGAAGTTTCATTCAAAAAACAAAATACAAGACTTTTACTTTAAATTATTGACAAAATTAAATAGTATCCATTTTAATTTATTCTATAACATTTGCAAATTTTACAAGGGAATTTATAAAAATATTGAAATAGATTTTTTTTCTTTCCATTACTTTGAAAGAATTATTTAAATTTAATTCGTAATCATTAAAGTGAAAAAATTCAAGTCTCCCACAAAAAAAGGATAAACATTTTTGTTTTCTTTCACACCCATATATAAATATATAAATAAGTATGTATATATGTAAGTTATGTCATAATTCTAGATGGCTTTTTAGATGTTTGTTCGGTATACGTGATCTCTTTATAGAATTTTTTTTACCACATAAAAATTTGGAGAAAATGTATTCATAAGTTAAAAATGTACTCATTACTTAAAATTACTTGCCGAATCCGTCTGGTCATTTCTTCTGTTTAATAAACTTTCTACGCTACAAACTTATGCTACCAATATATCTTTATGTAGAGCTCATTCTTATTGATGAAATTTGGTAAGGTAATCTCTCTTCTTTAAAAGTGCTGGGTCCTTAAAATTCTAAATAATCTATATAAAAACGATGTCAAAATGGTTATAGAATGTCACCATTATCTTGCAGTACTTGTTTTTTCAAATTTAAAACACAATTATTTTTTTTAGACTTTAAAAATAGAAGAAAAAGTAGAATAGAAGTCTCAAATTTGAACATATTAAGAGAAATGTGCTATTTTAAAAACCATTATTTTGATTTGAATTTTGATAAATGTAAGTATGTGTATGGATTTGTGTGTACTTAAGTATGTATGAATTAAGTTAGAGTTAATATTTAGAATAGATAATGTTCAAATAAGCAAAAGATTTTGTAAGTGGACACCATTTACTTTGCTGAATTCTTTAAGAATTTTTAACTTAAAATTTAATATCCTTTTTATTTTGTTCCCTTTCGAGTGTTTTCTTTATTCTACATTTAAGAACTATTACTCGTATACATAATAACGTAAGCTATACCCAAAATTAAAATAAATAGGTAAAATTCAAATATTCTATTATATCTATACAGGGTCGGATCTACTACACATGCTAAGCAAACATAGGCAATGGACGCTAGAATGGGCAATGTTTATTGCATATCGTTCTTTGTATTGAAAATGGAGAAGTGCACTTTCTGGAAACCGCATGGGATGCCGAACAAGGTAGACACGGGTCGGTATGTACACTATACATACATGTACGTTAATAGCAAATTTAAGTTAAGTAGATTTAAGTTAAGTTAAGTAGACTAGCGAACACCATATTTAAGTTCAGTAGACTATTTTCGTAAAAAATTTTGGTACGTCTTTTATTTGTTAGTTTGTTTTCGAGAATATCTAAATTTTGTGAGTTGTTATAAACTACTTGTGCTATTCTATATATTCAGGAACCCTATCGTTTTTTTTTTCAAAAATTCGCCTTATATATAGAGACATTTTCGATGCTATCGGTTTCTGAGTTGATCACGTCCAAATCAAATTAGAGTTCCGGTGTTTAATTCTTTTTAATTAATTTAATTAATTTAACTTAAATTTCGATTTTTTCAGTTTTCATTATGATAGGTAGAGAGTAAGACAGTCAAAATTAAAGCAGAATATTTTTTCATATATGGTTATGTTAAATAAATAAAATGGCACACAATTTAAGTATATTATTCTATATTCATTCGTGTGTACATGAAATATATTAAAAGAAAAAATCCTTTTCGTTTTGAAAATAAAATAAAAAACAAAAAAAAAAAGGAAAGTACATGTTTATATATAAAATGTCTGATGATAATCTCCTGTGTATATATATACGTGAATATCTATATATGTATATATATATATATATTATGCGAGAATATTTTAGAATATATATTTACGTATGTGTCATAAATATAAGTAAGTGATACAACTTTACAGTTTAGTTACTTTTAATATAATTGGATCTTGATATGGATACGTTTTGCACATTTTTAGATCCGTCGTCCTTTTGGTTAACTATCCGGTTATCCGATTATCATTTCAACCATATAATAAAAATTTATATTTTAGTTGAAAATTATATTGAAATTTTTTTGTTTCTTTTTTTTCGATCTCTCAGAATTATATGAATATTTTGTTATACATATCCATTTCTATATTTATATAGAAGGCTGACCGGCAAGGGTTTTATTAATGATACCATAAGCTTATTAATATTTTTGGTATCAAAAAATTTTATTTAGGTTATTGTGAATTTTTTTTTTTAAATGAGATGATTTAAATTATGAATTTTAAGTATAAATCCATGCATAAATATTAGTATACGTATATGTGTTATACTTCTATATATTATATTTATAAAAGATATTTTAGGCCTGCTTTTTTCTCTTATTTTTTGTGGCCTAACGCATTATTATCAAAAATGATATGAAAATTGTGATGAAAGGTATATAATTATTATCGGAAATAAGAATTTAAATTTACTTAAAATTAATATTACTACATACATGTATATAAGTACGTATAACGATGTTTTTACAATATTGGAGTGTATAGAATAGCATGTACATATAAATATTCATTTAAAAATAAAAAGGATCCTTGAATAGTATATATACGCATATTGTTAAATTTATGAAAAAATTAAAATTAACCAACTAAATAATTGTTGTGTTGATGAAATCTTCCCCAAAAATTTCTTAATAACTTATTTTAATAATGGTTATAAAATTCAATATATGTACTATTATATTAATATTTATAATAGTATATTGTATAAATATATAAATTTAGTTAATAATGATTTTCAAAGAGATTTTGCTATCCAAAGGAGCCGAAGAATTTTTAATTAATTTATTTATTGTCTCATTATTAATTAAAAATTTTATTATTATTTGCGGGATTTTAATTATTGATAATAATTTAAGTGTATCAGATAAGTTTTTCTAAGAAATTATACTTATTATATTACTATTATATTGCAATTATATAATTTCTTTAGTTATTTATTACAAAAAATAGAATTTGATATCACAATGTTTTTGAGGGGCAACCTACGCAATAATATAATGGTTTTATGTCAATATAAATTGTCCAAATTATATTCGAAATCAAACTATATTCGATTTTAAATAATTTTGTAGTTTGAACAAAGAATTTACAAAACTGAAATAATATTTGAGGTTCTAAAAACAAAAAAGAAAGATGCAATATATTACCCATAAATTTCTCAATTTTTAATTCTAACATTAAAAATAGCTTTATATTTTTTGTATTTTAAGCTTTTAGTATAGCAATATAAACATCATTCAGCCAACAAACGTGGATATAAGTAACTATAACTAAAATCGTCATCATTTATAAATGGAAAGGGATGGGAAAGGGAAAGGGGGAGCCAAAAAAATAGTGATCTTAATTTAGTATTACAAAGTAAATTAGATAGTTAAAACCAAACATATACAATTATTGCAGGGCGAGTTAATATCAGAAAAATCAAAAAAATTATAGTTAATAAAATTAGCATCACATAAGCTTATAATATAAATTAAACAAAATCAATGTTACCGTATAGTCTGACCTTAAGCACCCTCTTACTTATGTTGGTACAAAAAACTAAGGAATATAAGTTAATTTCGAGCAACATACTGCTCACGTATCCTATAGTCTTTACTATAACGCAGAACATTAAAAAGCTCGATTGATCTTAAGTTACAGGGATTTTCTCTGTAAGAAACTTTGTTTGGTAATTATGAAATAGTTTTGGTTTTAAAAATGTATTGAATAGGTAGATTTCTAGGAAAAATGTCGGGTATTTGATTTGCTCTAACCATGTAAAAAATACTGATATTAACCGAATACAGAATTTCATTAGAAATTTCGATTAAATTTTTCAATTAGCAATTTTCGCATCTCAGTAAAATCTCTTTGGTTACGGTATCGCCGCTGCTCAAATTATTATATATTTTTCATTCATTTTTGAAAAAGTTGAATTAGTCTATTTTTGATATCAGCTACAAAAATTTTTAATGTGAGAAATTTTCGAAATTAATTAATCACAATACTTTCAGGAAGCTTTTTTTTCAATTTGGAAAACAGAGTCTAATATGTGTGATTATCTGTTAACTAAAAATTTTCTATTTACTATAAATTACTAAGCATTTTGAGACTAGTATTTTTTATTTAACAAGTATATTGTATAACATTTTCTAGTATAGTTAAAATCTTAAATTTTTTTTAAAAATTTTTTTATTTTTGATAATATTTAAGTGAATAACACTTTAAAAATTATTGAAGTTGAAATAATAAAATTATAAGCTTTTTGACTATGATTTTCAATAAAAAAAAAAATTATATATGCATATTGTGAGACATTGACGTTAAAAGGTATCAAAAGAGAATAATCATTAAAGTAAGTCCTTTTTAATACAGTCTAATTTTGTCCTTTGAAGGGAAAAAGTCTGGAAAAATTTCTTTTTATAATGGGCATTATTATTATTGTACTTTTTTTTTATATCAACATGGCCTGGATGAATATAAATGCAATATATAAAATATATTGTTGGTATATATGGTGTGTACAGGTTATTTACATAAATGTAAAGGATTATAGAAGAATAAAAAAAATTTTTTTAAGGATAAAATATAAATAAATCTGAAATTAAGAGCTTTTTTCTGTTTGAAGTTAGTTTTATCAGATCGGTCAATTTTTTTTCGTTCAAAAATAATAATAAATAAAAAAAAATTGTTGTTAAAGACCTTAAGAAATATGATGAATACTGAGATTTTTATAACAAATATAAAATATTTAAATTTTATTTCAATGGTTATTGAAATGAAATTTGTGCATTAATTTTAAATTATATGTGAGAGTTTGCAAGAAAATAAAATTAATAATTCAAAAAAAAAAATCTACCGTTCTTGGTGTGTGCTCTTAACTGGGTCAATAATTGTTACCATTTTGAAAATTCTAAAATGAAAGATAATTATTTTTATAAGTCTTAAATTTGAGGATTTAAGATAAATAAAGTTAAAGTAAAGATTTAGCCCGTTTGCTATACTAAACAAGTTTATGATCTTATAAACTAAATTTAATTAGCTTGTTAGAAACACCGGCAATAACTATAAGGGCGCGCTAATAAATGATTTCATTAAAGGAATAAGATTTCACATATGGTTTTTTTTTAAAGTATAGCTAAAGTCTTTTGTATAAACAAAAAAAATCTGTTCAATATTTTAAGTATTAAAATATATTTTCAAAGGACTAAAGTAATTTATTCAATTGTTTGATCGTAATTTGTTAAAAATTTCATTTTTTTCTTTCTCTTAACATACAAACAAAAAAAAAAATTAAAATATTTAGAATATAAAATTCTATATTCACAAATTAAATCATTAGCTTATATAATTACTTTAAAATTTATAATTAATTTAAAATTTATAATGAATTTTATTAAAAAATATTTAATCAAATTACTCAAATATTTTATGATTTTATTCACGCTTATTTGAAATAATTTTGAGAAGAAGGGAATAAATATTTTAAAAGGTTTTTGCCTTTTAACTTTTTTTATTCTTAAATTAAATTAAAATTTCGTTCTTAGAAATTATTTATATACGTATAAATTAAAATAGCCTATTAATAATATTGAAATGAAATTGTCTTAAAATAAATCATTTCTAAACGTTCTTTCAAAAATTCAATAACAAAAATTAAAAAACGAAGACATCTAAAAGAATAAATATAAAATTATTGAACAATTAAATTGAGGATTAAGCAATTGTTTATATTTTAAGGGGGTTTGAGAATTTATTGAAAAGAATTAAAGAGTTCTTTGTATATAGAAATTATAAAAAAGAAGCCCGACAGTTATTGTATGTTTTATATCAATAGCATTAAAATGAATGTTAATAAATTAATTTTAGGGGGAGAAAATATTGAGCTTGTTAATAATCATTTCTTCTATATTGTTAATGAATTCTATTATTGAATAATTTTTATTTACTTTAAATTTAAACACATACTATTTTGAGAGCTATTTTCATAATTGTTATAGCTTAGAAGTAGCGTTTTTCTATGTTACCGTGGAAGATATGTCCTCTTGCCCCACTCGCTTCCCTTGAAATCAATCAATCTACCAATCTACCATGTTGCGGCGGGTTTTAAAGCTTATGTGAGCAAAATTGTCCCAAAATTAGTTGAAATCGTTTTAAGATTATCGTAAATCATTAAAGTTTTCTTTATTAGTTATATAGTAATTATAAAGAAATCTCGTATAGTTTCTATTATAAATTAATCATCTATAAAATATTATGCTTCCAAATGGAGTAGATAATATTGGTATACACATTATATATTTGGGTAATCACATTTTAGGCTATCACATTTATATACTTCAGAATGCTTACCTTTAGCACTGTTAAATGCATACTTTTAGGGGACGTAATTTATGTGCCATTGGGAGTATAACAATTGATCAATTTTTAAAAGGTTTTTTTTTCACATTAATTTTTTTTTTTTGTGATTTTTATTTTCCCTTCGTTTGAACTTAATAGAAGTTGAAAACAAAAATTATAGTATGTTTTTTTTTATCAAAATGAAAAATTAATTTATTTTAAAAAGAAATTTCTTTTTTTTTTTAAATGAAAATCTATTAAGTCAGATTTCTTGAATAAAAAAAAAATGAAGAACTTTTAGAGTGTATATTCTTATAAAAAATCATCATTAAGTGATTTAGGTATATAAAGATAACCTTCATCAAGTTATAATGCAAATAATATATGTGTATATATATAAAAAGTATGTTCTTCAGATGTATATGTTCTTCAGATGTTCTTCAGATGTATATACATATATGCATATATATAGAAAATATACAGAACTATTTTATCAATACAATTTGAACTTTAATTTTTTGCTCATATAGTTTGTTAAAGAGATAAAGATTTCCGATTATTTTTCACCAAAGATAAAATGAGAGAGATATAGGAATTTGTTGAAATTTTATTTATTTTAATTAAGGGAGCTGTTCATCTCTTTTGAACAGAATTTCGAAACAGTGTTTTGCCTAAAAATCAAATACAGTAATCTCTCTTATGAGATTTTTAGATTATATTTTAGAATCGATTCCTTTAGACAGATAAGTGAGTGAAATAGCGCTATAAGAGATTTATTATAAAATGAGAATGACAGAGATTTCTTAAAGCTTATCGGAGAGAAAAAAACGCAAAAAAAATGAAAAGTACGTTAACTGAGTTAAAGAAACAGAAGAGAGCAACATTATCGACCCTGTCTCCTGTAATTTTTTAATTATAAGACTTGAATTACAATTAATTCTAATGATTTTTTTTAAATTTTATAATGTGATGGCAACTCTATATATTTTTTCACTTCTATATGATTATAACACTATAATATTTAGTAAACTGTGTGTGTGTGTAATTTACTTTAATAATTTTTTCCATTAAATTTTATCTATATTGTAAAACAAAAAAAAAAAACCAAGATAGAAGAAGGGAAGAAATTAACAGAACTTTTAAAAATATTTTAAAATTTATTGTTTATAAGTGTTTTTTCTAAGTGTTTTAAGGTGCAAAAAAACAAATAGCAATAAAATTAGTATGAACTTGCATTTTCTCATAAAAATTCCATGTTATTCTCTTTGGTCCTTCATTTGTATCACTTGTTTACTGCAAGAAATTACTTTATTGCAGGTGTTACTATACCGTACTATATTAAATTTTATGTTCTTTTACAATAACATAATAAAAAGAATGGGTATAAGAAATTTGTGTTATATGTATACGAAGATTATTTTACATTACTCAGTATGTGTATAGATTTTCTAAACTATCTCACGACTTGTAGAAGCAACCCATTTTTAAACATTTTAAATACTCTTGTGTACAATCTTTTTATATAAGATTTCAAAATGAATTGATGATAAGGTATTTAATGATATTATATGTGATTTACTTCTTTAGATCTTCCTTTATCACGTACAAATTGTTAAAAGAAATATCTATACGAAAAAAGGATATTTAATATAGATAAGCATAATATTTGACACAGTCTTTAAAAAATCAAAGCAAAACTTCTAAGAATCTAAATTTCTTAGCTTGGCGTTAATTCTTCACATTATTTGTTATATATGCGCTATCTAGAAATGATCGCATACGGTCTTTTATAAAACATTACACTATTAATCCGACTACTATGAATATTTTTGAAATTATTTTGTGATGATTACTGAAAAAAATGGAAAAAACCGGTTGGTTTAAAAGTGTGAAAGCAAAAAAAATTATTTTTGGAGCCTTTTCACTAATATTGAAAGTCGAGCGAAAATGTATAGGCGCATTGTTGGGAATGTTTAGCAAGATCTCCCACTTTCGTTTTATTTGTTTAATTTTAGTTTCATAATACCAGTAAGATGATTAGAAGTTAAACGAAAAAATTACGATATTATACTTACAGAATCACATGAAATTTCAGCTCTTAATACTGGACTAGGCATTTGTATTGAATTTAATAATTCATAATTATCTAAATTCCATAAACATATCATTTTATCCATACTTGATGATATTAATACACCGCTAGCTAAACTAACTCTAAGTGATGTTACTGGACCACGATGACATGCCATTTTAATCATCTGCAATTAAAATTTTAAAATTCTTTAATGCTTAATTATTTTTTTTCTATAATATTAAAATTATATTTGATTATAAGAAACAACTTCTGATATTAATTTATGTCTTGAAAAAAATTATTTCAGCAGATTGTATTCAGAGCTATTATTTACAAAATATTTAACTAAAACATTTACAGAAAATTCTAAGGGATACGGAAGACTAAAATTCAAACGGGTGTTTTCAAATATCGTAAGTGTAAGAAGAATTTTTTAATTAATTTAATAACTGTAAATTTTGTAAACTATATGTATACTATAATAATTATTGATAAAAATTAACAATATAAGAAATTTAATGATTAATGTGTAGCATTAATTTTCAAGAATTTTCTTTTGCGTTTTAATAAATTTTCTTTAGCTAATTAATTTACAAACTATTAAGTATATACTATATTACATTATTAAATTTCCTCCTATATTGAATTCATTCCATATACAGTTTCCGCTATATATATGTATATATATGTATAGATAATAAAAATATAATATATTTTGCTAATATCATTACAACGTCAACTTAAATTTCATCTAATTTATTTTAAAATTAATATTTTTGTTAATTTAATTTAATTACTTTAAAATTTATAACAAAGAAGTGAGAGTGTACAATTTAAGACAATAAAATATAGTATTTTTTTTTGTGAAAGAGGAGATTAAAAAATGTAGATTTATATGTAGATATGCGAATATTTCAAAGTTTGTTAAAAAGCAAATTTCCTTTCAAGAATGTTGAGTTCCGAAATTGTTTTCATGTAAGTTTTTATCCGTTGTTCTACCGAATAATTCTCTTACATTTATTTAATATTGCATAAATTTAGGAGAAATATTTATTCTTCTTAAAAGTATACAAAATAATTTTCAAATTTAAAGTTATTTTAAAAATTAATTAATTACGTTTTACTTAATAAACCAATGTAGGGTAGGAACCGTGGGGGACCGAAAATCTATATATTTTTCAAATTTTGAGGAAAATAATTAAATAGGAGCAGCTGCTTTTATAGGAGAAAAATCACTTCAAATATGATGAATAATCTTATTTGGCATTAAGGGTCGATTCGATAGATTGATATTTGTTAATTAAATGGAAGAAATTAGTTACTAATTTTCTACTTACTTCTATAGAATGTACAAGTTTACTCTGATTTGGTTCTAATCAGAACTTATTAATAATAGACTTAATAGTAAAATATTGCTATTTTTGCGACTTTGAATAGCTATACCTTTCAGGTGAGAGTGGAGGCGTTAAAGTTTCGCTTTTAGATTTTTTTTGTGAACAGACAGATTTAAATTAATTGGAAAATTTTTTCAAAATTATTTGAGAAATATTCTAAAAGAGAACAACAATATTATAACAATAAAATCTGATAAATATATTAAAGAACGAAAAGAAAATGGAGTGATATTTTTAAATAATTTAAAAAGTGCCTATGTAAAATGTAATTATTTATGTATACATTCCTTAGATGTATATATATATATACGTGTACACAAAACTTTGATAATGTAATGTGACAAAGGAAATTTTCCAACTAATTTTATTTAATTTTTTCTTCTTTCCTGTTAGTTCCTTTTTTTTTTATTTTCCTTCTTGTTTCTTTGACTTTATTATTTATAAAAAATTTTCCATTAATACAAAAAAAATTTAATTATATTTTTTTTTCTTCCTTTTCATTGTTTAGTAGTGTCCTTTTGTTTGATTTTCTATAGAACTTTTGTTAATTGTCAACTTCAATTAAGAATCTCAACTCAACATATTTACGTATTTTTAGTATGCTGTGTATAGTAAAATATTATTGGTTAATATTGTAAATTCGATAGCACCTACAATACCTCAAGAATTTTCTTTTTAATTATATGAAAAAAAAAATATTTGAAAAATTTTTATTTAAATACGATAAGAATTTATTAATAAAGTAATGCAAAAGTAATAAAAGATGTTGAAGTTTAAATCCTTAAATTTTTATAGAATGAAATTTGTTACGTTTTTTAATTTACTGGTAGAGGAGCGACGAGAATGCCACCATCTTTCTATGGATGTTCAATATGTTGGCCACAAGAGTTGCACAAGCTGCTGTAAGGGATGGCTCTCTAGAATTGTGTGTGGTTAGTTTAGTTTCGGCTATTATGGAGTTTGGTGGTTGATGGGCTCCTTGATGAACAACTTCGTCTAGAAATTAATGTCCAGACTTATGCTGATGATATTGTCATCATCGCCAGGGGTGAGTTTCAGGGGATTCTTTGCGACATAGTCGAGGGAGAATTGCGGGTGGCACAGGCATGGTGCTACTCTGTAGGGTTCAGGCTTAACTCTAGCAAGACTACTCTTGTGCTGGTCGCTAGGATAGTCTTGCTAGGATTTTGCGCTGAATTTACTTTTGGTATCCTCCGTGGTAGAATGGAGCTGTCTTCAACTCAAACTCAATGAATTGGGTGATCGTAATATTTAAGAAATGTATTGGTCGATATATTGGTAAAATGGGTCGATTTACGATAAACGTGACCAGTAAATGGATATTAAATCGTTTTTTTTTATTATTATTATAATTGATTAAGGATAATTGCTTTTTTAATTAGTTAGAATAAAAATGCAATTTTAAATGTAATTTTGTTAAAATTTTCCTTTTTTTTCTCATTTATTTTAATTGTTCAAAACAAATTTGATAATATAAAAAAACTTTTTTATTTTCTTATAATTTGACCAGATTTTGATTAAAAAATTAGGTATAGTAGAAAATTATACTTTTCCTCTTTTTTTTAGTCGGCAGCAGAATAAAAAATTAATTTAATTTTATCCTTGATTTTTATCTCAGAATTTCAATGACCTATGGCGTTTTTAAAATTAAAATTGTTTGAATTGTGTGGATGTTAAAAAATTTAAAAAATATTTTAATTTGTATTTTTTCGTAATTTTATTTTCTTTTTGTTTTGGTTTCGGAATTGCCATTAATCTTAAACATTGTATATATTAAAAATTTCTTGAAAAAATCTTTTAATGATGTTAAGGGATGAAAATGAGAATGTTAAAATGAACAAAATGAATAATTAGAAAAGAAAAGTTTGATTATATGCTAAATTACGTGGTACAATATCTAGTTTATAATATTTTTTATAAAGGTCTTGCTTTTACATGATCAAAAATTTACTTATAACTTACTTGAATTATGGGCATTTTATATTCTTTAACATTGTGATGAACAATAATAACAATAATGTAAATACAATTTTAGTTTGTCAAAAATTTTTAGGTCTTAAACTGAGTTAATGATGTAATTTTTGAAGTAATATCACCATACTAACAACAACAAATTGTACGCGATAGATTCCATTGTAGAGAAAAATTAATTTATTGGAAAATTTTAATAATATTTTCAATTCTTAGAAAAATAAATACATTATTTAAGAACTGATGATGAGATTATTTATTTTTTTCTTTATTTTTGTAATTTTTTTAGCAAATACATTTCTTCAAAACTAAATTTTATTCTATATATGAAATTTTTATTCAAATTTTTGAAACTCCTTAAATTATTAGCCTGAAATAGCTGGAATGAAATCAAATAATTTGTTTGAATTAGAAAAAATTTGTTATTGAAATTTGAATAAGTTAAAAGAAAAGTATTAATTAAAAATTGTTTGTAGCTTTCGGCTTAAGATTTTTTTATTTAAAGGATTTCATATATCTGTACCTCAGGTGGTAGAACGTTTGCTTATAGAAGGCGGTATGTTACTGGATGAAGTCAAGTTAGAGAAGAAAAACTTTTAAACTTTTTTGCCTTGACTCGTTCTTTGGCTACATAATCTACCTAATCTGCACTTGTATGAAGAAATTTTCATTATTTATAATTATAGGACATTTTCAAACAAATATAAACAACTGTACGTTTATAATTAATTTATGATAATAACGTTTTTGTTGAATTTTTTTCTATTTCGTTAATTTATTTTTTATTTAAATCTTTATTAATTTAGAATGTACAGATAGATGTTGGTATATTTCAAACCTTTTAAAAATTAAATTTTGTAATTGTTAACATTAAACAGTATTTTTCAAATTAATGATTTGTATAATTTGATTTGCATTATTTTCTATATTCAATAGAACCACGAAACTCTGTTTGTAAGGTTAAAACTATACTTTGCTCTAGATCAATTGTTTCATATAGTTTTTTAAGGTTGTAAATTAAAACTGGAGACAAATAGGCGCGCAATAACGAAACTGATATATTTATAAAGAGCACTTCTATTTCTTATTTATTAATTTTCCTTTTGTTATTTCATATATAATTAGAGTTTCCTTATTTATTTAGAAAAATATTGTTCCTTTTGTGTTACGACTTCCTTTTTGTTGTAATATTGTAAATATACGAGTATTATTAATATTTAAAAATAAATAGTGAGTTATATAGAATTATATTGAAAAACACCTATTATAATATACAGTTAGGCGTGAGGTAATTGAAGAAATATTTTGTATGTAATTTTGTTAATTTAACTTTGTATATGTTTGTATATAACATTTAAATTTTTTCTTGCAAATATGAGCTTATTAAGTTATTTTTGTGTTACAATGTATTTATTCTATTTAATACGAAATATTTGCAATTATACTAGAATTTGAATTATTAGTTGAAAAAATATTTTATTTCGAAAACTAATGATAACAGAGTTTGTTAAAATCCTTTTGACGCTATATATATACAAATTTTGTGGGATTTTAGAATATTGACTAGATAATAGGGCCATTGACATAGTTAATCCGGTTCTGTGTATACCCAATAAGATTTTAATTTCTTTTATATCTATAAGCTCTATGTATATAATATATACACTAGCATTTATGTTTATTTATATATATATATATTATATACATTTGAAATAAAATAAAAATTTATTTTATTTATTTTCTTTTTATTGTTGATCCTTAATATGAGTACATATTATATGATTTTTGTATATATTAT